TTATAAACTGACTATGGCTAGAAATTCAGGAAGCAGTCAGGCTTATCCAGCTATTTTCTGGCTTTGTGACCTTGGGAAACTATGACCTTATTCATATTGAAAGGATAAGCTAGTTTACTAAGCAACATATTCCTAAGCAGAAAGGTAGACAGCAGTGATTCCTGGTCATCCCTAAGCCAACTGGTAAATATTAGTTCTCAGCTAGCGTCCCAGCAGATTTGAAAGGATCGGTTTGGAACATGGCCCTCATCCTCAGGTACAAATGTGTTTAATGAATTTTGGTGGTAGTGGTTGTTGTAAAATGAATACAGTGTATTAACTAGGACTCTTTAGGTTGTAAGTGGCGAATGTTCAAAAATGGCAAATTGGGGCGATAAAGGAATTAAGCTTATACAGACAAACCACAATTGAGGGTTTGCTGACTTCAAAAATGACTGGGCTCAGGATGTGTGTATATGTATTACTGTCTTGCAGGTGTGTGTGAGTGTGTTCTTTTCCTTTCTATGGATGCCATTCATAGCTTAGGTCATAATTATGTAATGAATGTATTTTCTGAGTTTTTTGTATATCCCAGAGAAAATTTAATTCTGATCAGATGGTCCTACATATACTCATGCATCTGAAAGTTAGGTCTTGAGGCAGTGCCTCAGAAACTCCTTGGTCAAAGGTCATATGAGGGGTGCATAGAGTAGAGGTTTATTGGAAGTGACTAACCCGGAACAGTCCACGGGTAGGTAGCCAGCCAGAAAATGAGTCACAGAAGTAGAATGAAATGTAATATGTGATTTCTTTTTTCTTTTGTGTGGTTTATCCCCTGTTGTCACTGTATTTGATTTGATAACCTGGGTATTGTATATATATTTATCTGAATTAGGGAAGAGAAGGGGAACAATAAAATGGTGAAACAAAGGACAAAGGGCAAACCAATACAACAGATACAACGAACCAATACAACAACTCACAAGATAATATGTTGGAAATGAACTATACAACTTGGGAGTGGGGAGAAGGAGGGAGAAAGTGGGAAAAAATGAGGAGGGGGTAACAAGTTCAACAGAAAATGTACTCACTACCTTATGTATGTAACTGTAACCCTTCTGTACATCTTCTTGACAATAAAATTAATTTTTTAAACAAAAGAAAAGAAACAATGAAGTTTAGAAAATATGTAAGTTTCCCCTGCCCATACAGATGTTAAGCTGCTGTCACCAATAAAAGATAGAGAAATGGTTGGGCACTGGTGGCTCAAGCCTGTAATCCTAGCTATTCAGGGGGCTGAAGTCTGAGGATCATGGTTCAAAGCCATCCCGGGCAGGAAAGTCTATGAGACTCTTATCTCCAATTTAACACCAGAAAACAGAAGTGGCACTGTGGCTCAAGTGACAGAGCTCTAGCCTTTAGCTGAAGAGCTCAGGGATAGTGCAGGCCCAGAGTTCAAGACCCACGACAGACAAAAAAATCCAAAGAAATGAAACTTAAGAACTGGAACTGGATCTACAAGATGTGAGGCAACCTGATTTCCAGCATACACATTAGTTGAAGGAAAAGGTACTATGTATATTCTGGCTTAACTTTGGGTCTTTTCCCAACTCTACATTTACTTTCTGTCACATACAAATCTTTCTCCCTAGCCTTTGTCTCCTCTCTAGGACAAAAGCTTCTGTGGTCCTTCCATTCCCAAAGTGCTATCTGACCCACTCCTTCAATACTTCACTGCCCTGAGATTTGCCCATTGATTGAGAGCTATTACTTTACAAACAGAATAAAAACATAATCATCTCTTTTCAACTCAACGAATATATGTCTTGTGTATTTAGAAAAACAATAAATTATCTTTAAAAGGATGAATCCAATATGCACATGTTGAATAAGTAATCTTTATTATATGTTAATTTAGTTGTTTCTTTTTCTAAAGCAATTGCATAGTTGAAATTTCTTTCGCTTTATGATTACACAAATGAGGATATTCAGATTTTAATTAACAATTAAATTGATCAGTTTGAAATTTGGGCAACACAAATTTGCTTATAATTGCTCTCACTATGCCTATATGAAATCCAAAGCCTATATTCCCAAATATAGAAAAACCACTCAAGTCAGCCTTAGTTACATGTGTACATTCACTTGAATCTGTACAGTGTGTGTTTTCATTGCCAAGAATGTCAGCTCCATTCCTTAATTGTTCCTATAACCACAATTTGGGAAATTCTATTGCAACATCAATATGTGATGTGTATGTTTAATTAGGCAAGTGTGACCTGTCTGTCACAGTGATCAATGCTCTTCTTACTTAATCTACTGTAGACTATCCAATGTCCCCATTTTAAAATTAGCCATGCTTTAGCTTCATTAAATTCTTAAGCCATTAAAAGCACAGTCCTATGCACCACTGCTATTCTGTGTTCTGGACAGCCCACACTTCTCACTTCACACCTCTTTGGGACCCATGTGACAAGGAACCCTTCTCCAAAACCAGAATCCCTTTCAGCTCCTCAGCTCTGGCATGTTATGGTTTTCTTATCAGATCTTGGGAAGAATCTGACACTCCTACTGACCTAGAAAGATCTGGTTGTCTCATTCTTTGGATTGTCAAAACTTGATTCTCTTTCTCAACAGAAAATGTAAATAAGTGCAGACAGTAAGCTTGGAGCTATGTCTTCACACCAGGTCACACAAGAAAAAAAAATAACATCACTTAGCCCATAATAGGAAAGTACAAAAACAAAACAAAAAACCTAGTCTGAAGCTAATTTCTTTTATTTAAAATTGCCATGATCTCAATAGGGAGAAACAATGCTGCCTTAAACCCAGCTCTGTGATAATTACATCCTTTATCCACTTTATACTGTTTCTACTAGTATACAAGAATTCTTGTGGTTCTGTATCCTCACCAACACTAGGTATTACCAAACTTCTTAAATTGTTGCCCTTCTAGTATTTAATGCATGGTGATATTTCTCTGTAGTTTAATTTACTTTTCTCATAGTGGTTTTAGCTTGCAAAGCACTAATAACTAATGTGTTTTAGCAGCTCTTTGCATGCTTATTGTCCTGAATCCAGGATGGTTAAGATTTGAATGTAAATTCTAGCATTTGGAATTCAGTATTCTGGAATGAGCCATACATTTCAAGCACTTCATACCATAGTGGTATACATGGTAGGGAAGCAAAAGAAACTCATTCAGTGACAATCAGTTTAGAGTCAAGCACTTCATGCACTTTGTTCTCTTTAAGTCACGTAAGCAACTATGAAGTTGATACTCCCATCTGAATATTGGACACAATAAAATTGAGACCCAGAGGTTGAGAAATTTACCCTGGAGGGCTTTTATAAGTGCAACTAAGTGTTGGAACTAATACTATATCTGAACTCTTTCCAGCAATCATATTTCCTATCAATAAATAATCTGTGCAGAAGGAAAATAATGTTCTGTTTGGTAAAGTCATTGTGTTAAAAACTCTATTAAAAGACATTCCATATGACTAATTAAATAATCACATCCCTGGGCAAGTTTTTCCTTTAATATTTCATAAGTATTCAAATAAATTACAAGTGTTTGATATTTGGTGGAATTTCTCTTATGAGAGCAATTCATGAAAGACTTTAGTCACATGTTTCATTTTCAGGCTGTGATGGGCACTTGTGAAATGATTAACTGTACTGTAGAGTTATAGAATATCAAATGGCAGCCAGAAATAAAAGGAACAAAGGCAAGAGTGAGAGAAACTGTTCTCTAAGAGACATATCTTCATACAGGTAATCAACTGATTATGACACTCAACATATTCAGACAATAGACACTTAAAATTAATTTAAAAACAATTAAAGGACAAACATAAGGCAAGACTCCTAGGAATTTATGTTATTAATAGTGCCTTTTACCCCCAACTATAATGATCTAATAAAAAGTCTGTAAATTCTTCAGACTCAAGAACAATTTTCAGAAAGTCAAATGAACTAGAAGCAATTGCTCAGGTATGATATTGCTCACAAAGTGGGATAGGCTAAGCCAGTTGTCAATATCTCTCTGAGAACTAGGAATTGCTCTCAGAACATGGGTAGCATTCTGTGTTTGACTCTCCCGTCCAGGATCTTTAGAAAATAACTTCTCAATGAAATTGTATCCTGAAACTCTCTCCATTCATACAGACACCCTGGTGCTTGCCCTGTACCAACACCTTCAAACAGGCCTGGCATTTGCATCTATAGAAATGAGCCTGACACTTAATCTACTCCACAGAAATGAATAATGAAAACAATTGTAATAATTACTTGTGTGTCCTTCATGTATTTTGTGAGGTTCATCATTTGTTGCTCTACTTCAGGACACAAATGTTTGATGACAAAAGTGACAAGCCCCATGACCAACAACAACAACAACAAAAGTGATCACACAATGCACTTTCTGGTTGTCAATATATAGCCATCCTTTTCTGTGCTACCAACAGCTACAAAGATTTAAAGTTTCATGATTATAGGATTTAAATGATTTTAACCCCTTTACATTTGGAAATTCTTTAAATCCCATTATCTCTGCAGCTACTGCAAATTTTAAAATCAGCTTGGTCTTTTCTAGCTCCAGGTCTAAGGATTATAGAGTTTTAAAGAACAAATGCTTTTCTGAAGGTCCTCTATAAAGAGTTGTCCCCAACCAGTTGACCTACAGGAAATAAAGCCAGTCAGTTCTCCAGCTGGTAACGGCTGATCAGAGTGTCTAAATGGAGAGATATGTACATTATGCCACAAATCCCTAGGAAAACAAGTAATTGCAACCTCAACTCCATATGAAGCCAGTGAATTGGATGATTTGGTATAGGAAGATGTGACAAACTTTAGACGTGTGTGTGTACATCAATTAAGTGTCTAAGAATAAGAAAAGAGTTGTCATAGAATCTCTCTAGGAAATAAGAAGTAAGGGCAGTGAGTTAGAAGCCACCTTGCTCCTAAAAAATCATGTTACCATAGATACTCAAATGCTAGGTAACCCTCTGAAGTCTTACCTCTTGTGTCCTCACATTTATGTATCCATAATGAGTCCGAAGGGGCCGCCTGTATGTGTAAGAGAATGGTATCCACTTTGTACCAGGCTGTCCGAAGCAGTTTAGGAGCAATGGGAAATTCACTTCATTTACAAGACGCACAACCAGCAGGAAGAGGAATGCCGCTACAAAGCTTACTGCAATCACTGACTTTCTCTATAAAACATTAAAAAAAAGAAGAGAAAAAAGAATGAATTTAAATAAGAACAGTCACAGAAGGGGTTCCTTTAGTCCTCTCCTTTTTCTTTCATAAGGATCACAGGATTCCACCATTTAATATATTTAACTCGGCAACCGAAAATAATCATTTGGTGAGCAGGCTGCTTTTTCAGGATAGCCCTCTGAAAGCAAGCAGAATAGTTTTCTGGTCTGCTTCTCTTCTCTTTCCACCATTCCATTTATCCTTATATTCACTGCATCCTCTTATCAAATGAAATCAAATTTAGATAAAGCCTTTTCTATGGTTCAATTCCCTCTTCTCCACCATCCTTTCATCCTCAACCTGCTTATACTATATCAAATTAGAATTCCCCCTTTTTCCATATTTAAAGGTAATTCTAGTATGTTTGTTTTTTATTTCATAATTATATGATCTTTTTCTATGTGATTATGGATTTATGGAAAACTGGATTATACTATATCATATCACAGATATACTATATCTATCTCATTGTCCTTAAAATAATCCTTCAACCCTTATACACCATAGGCATTCAATAAACACTTGATTGAAATGGATGGATGGATAGACAGATAAATGGATATATACATACATACATACATACATACATACATTCATTCATACATAGTTGCACAGAGAGATACATAGATGAATTAATTGATTTTTCACGTTATTATAGACACTTTCTCTATCATTCTATGCTTTTGTATATAGCACCCTTATGGGCCCAAAACTCTTCTGTCTTATTGGATTCAAAATGCTAAAGGAGAGGCTGGGAAGGTAGCTTAGTGGTAGAGTGCTTGTCTTTCATGCATGAAGCCCTGGGTTATATTCCTTAGCACCACATAAACAGGAAAAGCCAGAAGTGGCGCTGTGGCTCAAGTGGTAAAGTGCTAGCCTTGAGAAAAAAAAAAAACAGTGCCCAGGCCCTGAGTTCAAGCCCCAGGCTGGCAAAAAGAAATGCTAAAGGAGTTATTTCATGCTGAACAATGTAAGAATCTTCCCCTATATATGCTACCATGGAATGAAAGCTGTAACAACTGCATCTGATTGGAATAGGAGAGAGCAGAGATGAAACAGATTTCTCTTAACAAAATGCACAATTTTTAATTAGTAGGGATGTGTCAGCTGAGCTTTCCAGACAGAGAACACAGGCATGAGGATAAGAAAGCAAGGGGTCTTCCGTAGGCACAGAATAATTTGTCTTGCAGTGCAGCATAAAAGAGAAAAGTCTAGAAACACAAATGATCATGTTAGCACTATGATGGACTCTTTCAGATACCAAACTAAGAAGTATGTATAATTTTCCAGATGAGGAAAAGCAAAAGTTTCTTTTCTATTCATTCATTTTCTTTTTGGAAAGGTATCAGTAAATAGAGGTAATCAAACAGGAGTGTTTATCATGCTTTGGAATAGGGAGAGGGTAAAGGTAAGAAGTAATTAGGAGGACTGAGAAATGAGGGATGGAAATTACATCAGGGAGAAGGAACAGAACAATAAGAAAAAGCATGAGAGATGCGATTTAGATGGGAGGAAGAGAATTTGACTTCAGATGGAACAAACATGGCAGACATGACCTTCAGAGACTTGGGGCCTAAGAAATGGCAATAATATTCGATCATATCGGGAGAAACCAGAGGGATGAAAACAGGAATCTCTTGATGACTCAAAGAAAATGAAGCCTTGGCTTCGTAGGTCAGTAAGATCTAGATCAAGGTAAAAGTAAAAAGAAAGAGCAAAAGATAGACCTTAGGAAAAACTCTCCTGTAAAGTGCAGGGTAGACAGAGCGAACTATTCCATTATGAAGTTGAGTTTGACCTGGGATTACTCTTTGAACTTAATTAAGGAAAGCCAAATAACTTTCTGAGAATAACTGCATATTTTTGTATCAGTGTTATGTTTAGAGCTGGCCATTTTCAGGGGGAATCTGCTTGAATTTTCTCCTCACTGAATCTCCCAAGGAGGAAAAGAAACCCAAACATGGCCCAACATCCTCCCTGGGCCCAAGGGTCACAGCCCTGCCCAAGTAGCACAATCAGCTCCCAGAAGTCAGACCCCTAAAAGAAAGTCTTCATTCTTGCTCAGTTCCTGTAATTTGTAAAACTCACATTCCTCTGTCTAGCCAGTGTAATTTTCTAATCACCTAAAAGTCCCTTGAGCTCTGCCTCCTCAAAACCCCTTATCTCACCACTAACTACCACAGCCTTACCTCATTTAACCTTCTAATCATGAAAAACCGTTTTAATTTGCTCCTCTGTGGAATCATTATGTCCACAACATTGCAGTGTGTCAAGGTAACAGCTTAAATGAGGTGATGGATCTTACAAGTTTAAAAGGACATAGACCAGAACAGATGGCTAAATAAAAGCAAAGAGGCCAGTCACCCATTAAGTAAACAAGTAAGAACCTTTTCACTTTTTTTTTTTGTCAGCATACTGTAGCTGGATACAAAGCAGCAGCATGCTTTGAAGGAGAACCAGATGGAATCTTTGCTTTTGCCTATTCCAGAGCACAGCGTGACTCTGTTCTTTCTCTTAGCTGCTGAACTGCATTGCATTGGCTACAGGTTGAGGGACAAAGGCACAAAGGGCCTTTCTGAATCTTCTGATCACAAGCAGCAACACATACATAATGCATACATGAGAAGAAACTAAACCAACCATTTTGAGAGAAACTTCAAAACAAAACAAAATCACAGTCTTAAAAGCCTACTCGCTGGTAATCCATGTCTGCTTCCTATGTCTATCAAAAGGAACCAAGTCATGAGTGCAGAGAGGGTGGAAGAGCAATAACTGAGAGTGAATCCCAGCACCCACCTCTCTGCCCTCCACCTGGAACTGAATTCACACTGGGCGGAGGTATCCTTTTATAGCTCAGACCTCAGTCTAACTTCCGTCATGTTGTCTCAACCTGACTCTTACCCTTTCTGTGTTGCTGTATTCTTGTTCAGCATGAAAGTATTCTCATAGTACCAACATAAAATCACCCTGAAATTTTACTAGAAAAGGTAAAACTGAAAGCACATGCTGTGCTCCAGATGGCAAAGACAAGGAAACTGAACACACATGTGGTTCTCCTGGAAGTCACTTCTGTCAGAGCCTGACCTTGACCTTCAGCAACTGCAAAGCAAACCTTGGATGAGACACTTTGAAGTCTATCCATCATATAACATCTCTGTGTTAGAAAAGTACTACTGTGCATGTTCATCATGGATGTTTTCACAACTTTAAGTTGAAATTGTTCATTGAGACCATATTCTGTATAGAAAGAGAAACAGAAACATAACTATAAATGCCAGACAACTAAACGAGGAGGAGGAGGAGGGGGAGGGGGAAGAGGAGGAGGAGGAGGAGGAGGAGGAAAAAAATGAAACACTAAAGGGGACTATGCACAGGGTGCTTTCGGAGCCCAGAGAAAGGGCAGGTCTGGGAGCTACAGGAGGGACATTTGTGGAAATGCTTGTCTGGGGTAATGGTATTGAAGTGGAGTCCTGAAGAATGAGATAGCAAGGAGATAGTGAGGAGAAGGGAATGGTATACTAACCAGAGGAATAACAACTTGACAGTTTTAATTTGACCAGAAACCTTTATTTGGTAAGAAGACTACATAGACTCTATGTGGTACGAGAGGCTGGTAGACAAGATTTCAAACCATAAAACCAAAACTAATAAGCACAAATGCATTAAGTGAGATGTAATTATCAGTCCTATCTACTATACATTAGGGTAATGAATGGACAAATGGATGCAATGCCACATCTTATAATTCTAAAATATTATTCATTTTCTAATCAACTGAAAATGCATTATTTCAGTATATTTGAAATTGACATGTACCACAATACTTTGTTTCCAGTTGTCTGATTTTTTCCATCAATAAATTCCTTCTGAATGGCATGTTCTAGTAGCAGTTTTAAGTCCAGAAACCCTCAAAATTAGGCGATTTGACCTGAGATATCTGTGTTCTGTCTATGGAAGTGTACACTGCTGCCTTTATATAGGAGTCAGAATCTCTTCAAACAACTACAATTAAGCTAGAGAAATCAATATAAGTACTTATCAGTTTATAACATAAAATAATTCAATATTTTTTCACACTGCAAAAAATCAGACATAAACATAATAAACAGTCATTCTCCAAAGATGAGAAATAGGCACATTAAATCAAATGGATGGAAAAAGCAGAGCACAATCCAGGCACAATTATGATATAATTGGGAATTGTGAGATCCTTGATGGGTACTGGCCAATTGGTAAACACTGATTGGGACATGAAAATTTCATGATAGGAATCAGACAAATCTGTTTCTCAAATATCCCAAGCACCTGCAAACCCTTGAACTATTTGGTGCAATGCATCTATAGAAGCTGTGGAAGGATGTCACTGTGCCCAATAGATCTGATGAATTGCTATGGGGAAAGCTTTCTCCTTCTTTGTTCTTCATTTTGGGCAAATCTAAAGGGACCTTTAACAGCTGAGACATTTAGAATTTAATCCCCTTTGTGCTGAGAAAATATGCATCAAAAATGTGACATTCCAATTGCTTGCTCTTTAGAGTTGGAATATAATTTATGAGACTTTAGTGTAGACATCCCTATTTCAAAATGAAACCAAGGGGAATTCATGAGGTGGGAAGAACACACAGTTGCAGAGATTTGGACACAGTATTTTTGCAATCTACATAAATTTTATGCATGTTTTTCTACCACAGAATTTGTCATTCACCATAAAGACTTTATCAATCCAGTTGGTTGTTCAATGTTTTGAATTTTCTTTTTCATAAGTGATAATAGAATAAAGATATGTTTTTTCTACATAATATATTATATAGGAAAATATATTTCTATAGTATTATTTAATGACTTGAAGTAGCTGTGCACCAGGGTAACAGGTGTTAACTTTTCTTTACATGACATTATTTATCAAATGATAAATTTAAAATACAATGCCAACCGTATTACATTATTATTATAT